AAGAATATCACTTTTTTCAAAACATTCTTATGTTTAGAGCTGCAAAGGAGGTTAAAATAACTGAGAACAAATTTCTCAAGTTACTGATGAGGAAATCAGTTCAGGGAAATTAAAGGCCTTGCTCAAGGTCACCGGGCTAGCAAAAGGCGCAGACTGTGTTAGAACCCAAGATCTCTGGCTCTCAGGAACTGCTTTTTCCATTGCATCATTCAAGATAATGCAAAGCTATTTTCCAGGAATTTTGATAAAAAAATAAAAATAAAAATAAAAGGCATTCCCTTTTGGATCCCAAGTGCCTTCCTATAAGCAATATTGGAAATAGTATTTATTTAGGAAGCATCAAGATAAATGATCACAAGATATGGAATTTTTATGGATTTTTTTAATGTAAAAAGCTACCTAAACAATGGCCAAAACTAATAAGATTGTTAGATAACTAAAGTATCTGGAACAAGAGAGAAAACACTCCCTTTCTCTCCCTTTCTCTCTCTCTCTCTCTCTCTCTCTCTCTCTCTCTCTCACACACACACACACACACACACACACACCCTGTTCCAAAGTCATATTGGGTCACTCACAAGGGGGCAGTCCTTCTTAGGTACATTTTCACCTTGCTGTTTCAATTGGCACCTCAGCAAAAACACTGCCTTTGGGGCTTATGACTCAGGAAAAGGGATGCTGGCTGATGAGACATGTTTATTTGAGAGGGAGGGAGGGGGAAGGGGTAAATACTTCCCTAGCCTGTCTCTATCTTATTTTCTTTATTTAGGACAGGTAAATCTGAACATATTTTGCATCTTATAAAACAATACACTCAAAAAATTTTTGTTCTGGGAGGGTGCAAAACATATCTAGCAAGCTTTCAGGATCAGTTCACCCATTTGCCCTGCTGGGTACCACAGACCAAAAAGTAATCTGTTTAAAAACAGGCAGCATTTCCTTCAAACCTTGGTAAGGAACTGCCTACTGAGCCCTTTCAATGAATCTCAAGATTCTCATGATCAAGCTGGAATCTAGGTTTTTATTTCGCTCCCAGTACACTCACAGCCTAGGAGGATGGGGTTTTCTTGGTCTGGTGTATCTCAGGTGCTTTGCAATTGCAGGTGCTCAATAAAGGGTCTATGAAAGCTGGGGTGCTTTCAGGCCACAGGAATTCTTCTCTGAAAATTCCCCAAACTGTGCCAGCCACCGAGCTCCTATTTCCTTCCAGCTCCATTTAGTAAAAGATATAACTTTGAGCCTCCTGAGCCAACCCCAGATTCCTCAACCACGTGCTGCAGCGCACTCCTGCTAGCAGATTTCAAGGCAGGAAGATAAAGGAACGGGTGTTCTAGTAAACCATAGTAAAGAGAGGAGGGAAACAAAATGGGGCATGTCACATGGTCATGGCCTGAATTTTTCTCAATTAAAAATAAGAGGAAGTGTGTGTTTCCGGCCTCTGTCAGCAGGCTGCTTGGACTTTTTCATTCTTAGGATTCTGCTCTAGATGAACAAATAAGGCTGAGCGCATAACATCCTCAGTGGTGGGGGGGGGAGTTGGGAGGGGGGTGGGTGAATATTTGGCTGAGCACTGCCAGCGCTAGAGGAAGGGATGG